CACCGTCGTGGTGGTGGTGGTGGTGGTTTTCATGGGATATTTTGTAGATTCCATAGCCTTGCTGGAATGACAGGTTGAATTCGAAACCCCTACGTTTGGCTAAGCAGAAAGGAAAGCAATGTCGTATTAAATGAGTCGAACCCAAGAAGAAAAGTGAGATCACATACACAATGAAAATTACATTCTAAAACAGGGAATAAATTATTTAGCAACTGCTAGCAACAGATAATTTTCTCTCCATAAAAAGAATGAACTGTTGAGAAGAAAGACTTCTCAGATAGTATGTTATTACACTGCCCTCTTAATGAACTCAGAAATGACACATTCCAAAGTTCATGGATTGCCAGAAACTGGTAGATTGTCTGCCATTTTCAAAAATACACGGGCTAGGATGTTTTATGGGATACACTCAAGAAGAAAATACTTAAATTTTGTAATACTCTTTTTTTCACAGCCTGTTTCAGCTATATTCCTAAAGGTGAAAAATTGTACTAAATGATACAACCTTTCTGAGAATCCGTAACTAACCTTCAATATCAATAGTCAAGCAAGAAAAACAGAATTCTACAACACAAAATAAATATCTGAAGTATTTATAGAATGAAATTTTTGTATCTTCTCCATTCTAAATTCAGTGCTCCAACTAATCTTACACAGTAATTGAACAATTAAGTAAAAATTCTCCATCATTATTTACACCCTTTCATTCTACCTCCTTTCTAACACAAATCACCTGAGATTCCTCAGCCTCCCCCTTTTCATCTTACATGATGTAGCAACTAAATGCCTTTTATTTAACTAATGAAATCATCTTTCCACCAAACCTTTCATGCTAAATTATAAAATAAAAGGTATGAGGATGTATTTATACAACCTCTATTTCTACTCAACAGTGTGTGTGCTTTCTAGATCATACATAATTATGGGTGAAACTCTGACCTTAGCAGTCATTGCATTAAAACTTGAGATCGGTCTTTAGTACAAATATCTAAAAGTCACAGATTTCTTTTAAATAATTTTATAATTGATACTTTTCCATCTGTTGAATATTTATCTCTCTAAATAGGATTATCAAATACATCTGAAATAAACTTCCTTCTTGACAAACGGCAGTCATCCTCTCCAGGAAAGCGGTTAGAATGGCGTCAGTGGCAGCACAAGCCATCCTGCACTTTGAGAATGCGTTGAAAGCAAGTGAAAGCCGGGAAGGAGAACAGCCTTTGGCCAGGGTTCAGGAGCTTGCTTTCTCCCTGAACATGCAGTGCATGTTGGAATTCATCCACTGATCTTGGAGGACTTTCACTCCAGAGGATGGGAAACGACACCCAGATCCTCAGAATTATTTAGCTCCTACCTTTTCCACTTGGACTAGATGATCCTTGTAGGTCCCTTCCAGCTGAACTGTTCTATTCTTATTCTAATTCTAATTCTAATTCTAATTCTAGTTTAGTGTATAATTCTAACTTTCTAATAAAACTTGCCAGCACTTTCAGTTCCCTTTGGGCCAGGCCTCAAGGAACAACTGTATCAAACTCTAGCGCTGCAACTCTCACTTCTGAAAGATTAATGCATAAATCTATCATCTTCATGTAAAAATATAATTGCAGCATTACAAATAGGAAATTGGAATTATTTTTCTGTTAAAGCTATTCTTGATAATAATTATGAACGTAAATTAAAAAAACAACTATTGCTCTGTCTTCCCCCCTTGTAGGCTTCCTTACTGGTATTTTTACCAGAGCATGTTTATTGTATGTTAACAGAGATGATCTAACAGATACAGATGTATTTAATACCCTGTGGCAGATTTCTGTCCTTCAAACTTTCCATAATGACCTGCTGTTAAACAGCTGGACTTTTTAAGCTCATACATTCTTGGTTGTCCCAGAAAGCAAACATGTATGAACATATATGCATACATTTGTGTGTAAGGAATGTAAACTATTCACTAGTAAAGATACTGAACTTACATTAGTATGTATAATAAGCTTCAGTAAAACATTTTAATAACAAATACTTCTCACAAGAATATTGGAAACATATTTTCATTTGTAATTCAAAATGCAATCCCCCTGTGCAGATACATGAACACTGGAGACTGCGGTGTTTCATAAGTAACTCTGGCCCGAAAGTGTACAGGAAAGCATTATGCAGCCTTTTGGCCACAAATACGACAGTGTTCTCCATGTTCACAGAAGCCTACGTGTGTTTTTCACTAGAGATGAGTTCATGGAGTGACAGCTGTATTTCTTTGTCTTCCGCTTCTCGGACTGAGTCTTACCACATGATCAAGCTCTTTATGAAACGAACAAAAGTGGTGTAGCTGTAGGAGACCGGCTGTGGCAGTCAGTGAGTGCCGGGATTCCTCCAGCTGGTTTTGCATGGAGGCCCAGAGGAAAACAAGGTTTTAGAAGATTCCAAGAGGGTTACCAGTGAAGGTCTGGCATCCTCTGTTGCACCAAGGTAAACTTTATAAACATGCAGGGAAATATTTTTAGGCAAAAACCGTGTAGGAGTTCCTTAGCTTTCAACAAGTAGCATGAACACACTGAGAAACAGGTCCCTCCCATAAATCGCATCCTTTGCTATTTGCTTATTGGTGTCGCTCTGATTCCTGGTTAGTAGCTACAGCGCAGGTGTACAAACAATAGCTCCTACCCTTCTCATAATTTACTTGCAATTAGCATGTTTTTGTCCCCCACGACGCTGAACATGTCTAGCATGTTCCATGTATTTGATGAGTAGAAGTCAGATTTTGGCAGATACATCTTTCCCAGGGTAGGAGAGGAGAGCAAAAATAGGATTCAGAGTCCATCAGACTTTGCTAAAAGATTTGACAGTGATCTGGGAAAATCAGCCAAGCTTCTGTGCCTCAGCATCCACTATTTCCATCCAGCTGTCTCGTATTAACATTGTGAGTCTCATATACTGTTTTGAATAATGTCTATATGATCGAGGTATATGATTTCGAGGAGCACAAGGTACTGTTACTGACACTAACTTCCTATCCTCTTTACAACAAGATACATTCCAGCTGCGTGTCACGTTTCCGTACTTACTTTTGAGTTCTTCTGAAGACACTGCATATGAATTCCTCCTGCAATTAATGATGCAGCCACAGGGCAGGTGGATCCAGCGTTCTGACAGGACAAATACTGGGGTGACCGTGGCAGCCAGCAAAGTCAGATGTCTCAAATAAAAGGCTTTGAAAACCAGTGATGTGCTGGACAACCATCTGTATCTGAAAGGCAGAGCATTTTCAAATTTAAATCACTTCAGGTACATGAGACACTTCCAGGAATAAACAGAACATCTCACTATGAATATGACACAACTAAAAGACACAGGTTGTCTTTAATGTTTGCTGAGCCTGTCAATTTTGTTTCTAACAGAGCGGAGAAAACACACTGACGGTGGCTCTCCTCCTCATTCTGCATTTCTCAGAACAACACTTGCTTAAGCTAAATCCAGATGCCTGAGCACTTTTAAAAGAAGCAACTCTCAAGCCAAGCAACTTAGAAAAGACCGCTAGCTCAGTCTCTCCCGTGCGGTACCGAGGAACCCCACCCCCTGATGGGGAGCAGGAGAGAGGACTTCGCTGTGCCACAGATGCTCCGTACTGCTCGCCTTCCCTTGAGGGATGCTGAGGTGCTGAGCCTGAGCCTACGCCCATCCCGGGGACAGCCCCAGACCCATGTTTCGTGTTCTCAACAGACTCCTTTCTCATTATACATGGACGTACCTGCTCCCAAATATACCAGTGCGTGCACATAGACAGCACTCCCTCCCACCCCCTCAATGCTACAGAGAGTACAAAGATGCAAGCAAGCCTCCTTTTCCTAACAAACTCCTATTTTTTAACCAGTCTGGCAGAGGACGTGACTCACAGCTATGACAAGGGGCAGAAAGGCTAGCATAGCGTAGTACAATTCACAGACCCCATAATGCTTGTCAGACAGCTGGCAATACAAAAGGGTTGGCCTTATTCACCCCTCTATTCAGGTGAAACAAATGATGTGATGATAGAGTAACATACTGATGAATCAGGCTCTGCCAGACCTGCTGAAAGCCAGTTACATTCCTGTAGTGACACAGACCTGCTTAGAGGGACTTTTGCCAGCACCAAGTATACTATAAGGACGAATTGCAATGGCTACTGTTCATCTGTTTCAATACATGAGACACCAACTCACACCCCGTTTAAATATAAGTAAACGTTAGAAAGTAAAGCAATCTGACAATTTACCATCATAGGAAGCCAGAGAAGGACTTTTGTCAATGCAAGAATCAGCGAGAATCGTTTCTGGGCAAAGCCCACCACGAAGCTCCTGCTCTGTATGCTGTTCATGCAGCGAGGCTCGAGTGCACCGCTTTCAGCCACACCTTTCCTAAAAACTGCTTCTGAGCTTGGACATGGATTTTGGAGATGCTTCAGGGTTTTATCCACAGGGCCCACCGGTGACAGAGGCGGGGTAGCAGTACTGCAGCCTGCAGGCGTCCCAGGGGTGACGTAGCCTCGAGAGATTTCCTGGTAATCAATGTGTAATAGCTGTTGCTCATCTGAGCACAACAGCTGGTAAGTCAGAGGAACAGACAGCACTGTGAGGAGGCAAAAGCACAGCGAGTAGACAATAAATAAAAACAAGATGTAGGAGCTGGCACAGTCAGTGAAGCAGCCCCAGGAGGTAGGGATGTACTTGCCCCAACCACAGAGAGGCAAAATGCAGATCAGCAAACTGACAATCCAAATGGTAAGAATGGCCCATACCATGCTTACTTGCCGCTTGGAAGTGCTGCAGCTCATCGTCTCAGTTTTGTTGATGGTGTAGAAGTTGTAAGAAACTATAAGAGATCCTTTCAGGTTGCTAGAAATGCCCTGGAATAAATATATAAGCGCTGAGGTGGTGCACAGAGGCTGGGGGGGGTCATCACTTGACCACTGGGTGAGCATGAAAATAATCACTGGCCCAATGCTGATGAAATCATCTATTGACAAAGAGGTCACAATCATTGAAACCGTGGTTTTGTTTTGCATTTTGAGCAGGGAAACCAGTGAATAAATGCTGCCCAGAAATGCTGTAGATGCAATGATAAAAGTCAAGCAGAATAGAAAGACATTCAAAGTTCTCTGCTCGCTAGGCTTATCCATAATGCTACGATTTTCAGCAAAGAAGCTCGTCCCATTGAGTGACAAATTACTAGGTGTTACCGACATTGTCCTTGGCAAATTTTTTTCTTTGCCTTCTCACTGACTCTGCAAGTTTTCACTAGCTGAAACCAGAACTGTTAGCTCCACATCACAAGTTTCTTTGTTTTCCTAGACTCTCTTTTGTGGCACCTGATGAAGAAATATTCAGGCGAAAGCACCCTTGGTAATCAGAACAACTCATGCTCTTGAAAAATCAGGCAACGACGAAGTATCAAAGGTACTGAAAAAAATGCAGTTCTTCAGAATCCTTTCAGTACTGAAAGATGGTTAATTTAGGCTCTTCAGGTAATAACATGCCGTTCACTTTTGACAGATATCAGGCAATGTGCCTTACTCACGAGTTCAGCTGAAACGAAGGCAGAGTATCAGGTATGTTCAAGCTCTAGTAGCTCGGGGAGAAACATAGTAGAAATGAGAGGCTGTTGGGTTCACCCTGCGCTGTTCCGAGCTGCAGGAGGGAGGAGTCAGATGCAAGCAGGATAGCAGAGACGAGGGGAGTGAGCATCTTCTCAGAGGGAGCTGCCTTTTAGCTGGATCAGAAGACTGAGTCCCTGCTAAGCCACACCTCCGATGCTGACACTGAAATCCAATGCAAATACTCAGATCTGATGTCAGCCATGAATGTCATTCCCGTAAAGCCCATGGCCGCTCCAGGGCTGTGCATCATGAGCTACAGGGCTGCTTTTATTCTTTTGTCCTTCTGTTCTCCAAGCTTAGCAAGGGGAAAAGCTGCAGGAGCCTTTTATGAAGATGAAACAGAAGATGTGTGTCTGCTCTGCCTTTTTGTACTCCTACTCCCACTGCCAGTGTGCGTGTGTATGTTCATACACTGCACGGGGATGCTAACCGGACAGTTACTTAGGGACGACCTTCCATTAATGACAGGTAACTGCCGGGCATGTTAGCCAGGTGTTGCCTGCCTATGTGGTATCTCAGCTCAGTCTGGGGTTTATAAAACTTTCGGTCTCGGCATGATGCAAATCTGAGCCGGCATTAAATGCTGACTGTCTTCTCTAGTTGAACACATGGATAGAATCACAGTCAAGGGCATTTTGGCACATTATGAATGTTTTCTCCTGAGAAAGTGCGGTACTGGTGAAACTTGTAAGCTGACAAAATTTCCAACACTCAGATGTTAAGTGGACAGGTAGGTTCAATGCAATCTTCTTGGAGGACTCTGCCTCTCTTTTCTTTTTGGTGCCACTTTAAGTTCAAAAATGCAATGAGGATGCAGGACAAATATTTTCTGATTCAGGGTAATATTGTAAGGCTGCTGCAATTACTTGCTAGTCCGGGGAACATTACAAATCCACTCAGTTAGAAATCTGTATTGTTCGCAACCAGATCCTTGCTCAATTCTACCCACTTTGAAATGCATTAGCTGTGTCAAGCCAACAGCTGGATTGTTTGGGTGTTTTCCCTCCTGCCAGGGCAGGGCAGGGTTGGAAGCAGCGATTCCCGGAGCCGCCGGAGCCCCAGAGGGGACGGGCAGTGGAAGAGAACGCACGGCTGCAGCTGTATCGTGTGACAAGAGCCCGCAATACAAGGATCAGAGCTAAGGGCAATGATAACTTATCGGAATAACCCCCCTTCATTTCTGATTTCCAAGCTGCCCTGCCGTGGCACTGGGAAGGCTTATGCCCCAAAAGAGGCTAGGTCTTCCAGTCAACGCCACGTGCCCTGTACAGCCACAGAACTGTCCTCGTTGCAGGACCTGTGGTAAAGCAACACTCCTCCTAAGCAGCCTGACCGGGAGCCTTTGCCTCTCCATCCTCCCTTTCACATTGCAGCTGCTTCTCTTTTGAGGATTCTGCGTTATTTATCAGGACCAACTGTCAACCCTCACGTCAGAAATTTGCAAAAGAGAGGGGCATCCATCCTGCCTTCCACACAAGGCACAGTCATGGATCTGGCCCATCCATCTGGCCTTTAACTGTACAGGACTTGACTTGGCTTTTGTGATTTATCTGTCCTGCTGGACTATTGATTGTTAATCCATGCTGTGCCAGCTAAAGGTCAGGGCTCATTTCCTTCTATTTACAAATCACAGTCACCTCTGCCCTTGCAAGTCAACTTTAAATTAAGGACAGTGTTCTAAATCTTAAGATTAACAGTGTGAGCCTGGTCCGAAGTACAGAAAAGGGACAAGAAGAGAAAGAAGCATCATTCACCCTTGTTTGGACCTTCATTTTTAAGCCTGGCTTCCTCAGGAAACACATGACCACGCTGCCTGAGCGCGGACACGTGCGTGCGCATGTTTCTCTCTTCCACTCCTCATCCCTCAATTCCTTTTGACAAAATGATCGTTTCCATCTCAATCTGATGGTGTCAAAGCTATGAAGTTCCCACAAGTTCTTTGAAAATGAGCAGCTGACCAGAGGAGACAGATCACAGTAGGCTGCAGCAGAGTTCCCTCTTCACTAGAAACTCAAGAACACAAAGCAGAGGCTTTATCAATACTCCAACCATAAAGAAAGCTTCAGCTGAAGCGTCAATTAACCTGGATGCTAAACTGCAGGAAACCAGCTTCATTCACTCTAGCGTGACTTAAGCTTCCTGATAGGTGATCAGTTACTTCCACTCTTAAATTCCGTGTCATTCATTGCCTGTGTCATCTTCATTTGCTCTTGCCATGTTATTGCCAAGTGATTAGAAACAATTTTAATGATGCTTGAGAAATTTATTTTCCCTACTTTGAAAAGTCGTCTCCTGTATCCTGAGTCACTATACCTACACTGGCTGTCCAATAGCCCTGATGACAGATATCAACCACAAATTTTCTGAAAGTTCCCTCAGTATAATCTTCTTCACATACTTTACTGACCTTGCTTTATTGGCTGTGCATACACAGCCTCTATGCCACTCTGCAGCTTTTTGGACACTTTGGTAAGAGCAGTCCATTCTGTGCCTTCTGTTTGTATTTGGAATGAAATGCTGGTCAGTGTTTTTAAGAAAGTCACTTTTATTTATCACAATACCTATTCAAGGCAGATGACGTATTACTCACCTCGGTTTATCTTCCCACGCAATGTATTTTATTGTACGAACTGCACCTTGCCATTCTCTGTGACAGCTTTTACCATAACTTACAATATGGTGAAACGTTCTTTCCTCTAGTCATTTCATAGTTATAAACCAAAGGTCTTAGGAGTGATGAATTCAAGCAGCTTCTCTTCTTATTTATCTTTCTTTAACATGACTAATAAATTCCAATAAAACATGTACAGAAAGATCAGTTTCATCTTAAAACTGAAGAGAGAATTCGGTTGCTGTAAGAAACAAGCAACTCTACGAAGAGAAGCATGATTTTCTACATAGTTGTGCCTCCAGGTAGTTGACTTTTGCACCCAGTAAGGTCTAAGTTCTGAAACTTCTCTGGTGGCTGGGGCAAATGAATCTGAATTGGATTCCCTGATCTCTTCTAAAGGATGAGTTTATATTGCAGTCTTTCAAAACTTACAGGAACACTATCTTCGCAATTGTAATTTCGCTCCCAAATTTTCCTGAAATTCATGAACAGATTCAGCTAAGTCTGGGGGTGGCACGGAGAGGTAAGCCAGCAGAGATAGATAGTGTCATCACATCTCCCCTTCTCCCAAGTTTTCTAAAGAAACAGTGCTAGAATGGAATAACACAGCACTGCCAAAAAGCGACGGGTGATGACCTTGCAGAAACCAAGAGAAAGAAAAAGGCACCTTTGTCTGCTGCCGTGTCCTTGGTTTGGACTGTGTCAAGGCAGGCATGAATTTGTAGATTAAGATCCTTACTACCTATTCCCTTTCTTCTCTGCATTTAGCCTCCTGAATTATGGGAGGTGCCTAATACAAATACTGTCCTTTGCAATATAGGTATATATTCCTTATCCTGGTGTGAATTCTCTTTGCTAAGGCATGATCACAAAGAGGAAATACATCAGGCATGGAAAACTCCTCTCTGGCCTCATTTCAAACAGCACTGCACAACGATGTCTCTTTAAAGGAAGAGTCAGCACGACTCAACAGTCTATGAAACACACTGCATGTAACAAGTCACAAATGCTTGTAAAGTGGATCAAATATTCACCATTCATAAAATACAACCAACAAATAGGGTATTAAAATTTAGTTTAGTGTATGAGTCATCTTTTATTTTCATACTTTGCACTAAGCTAAGCTTTGACTTACGGTTTTGCTTCCTTTTGTCACTCGAGAGACAAGGTTGTTACAGCAGCTGTACAAATTTTCCATTTCAGAAGTGATATAACCTCTGTGCCAGGCATAAATGTATATATATAAAATTCCATAAATGTCTTCGTAGTTTATTCCTCAATAGCATGTGAAAGAAAATGATTTCTTTTTCCCCTAGAACTTTTTTAACAGACTTTTAAAAAGATGTCAAACTAAATGATCATTTTTGGTTTATCGGACTCAGACGTCACTTTTAGATACGAGATGGTTAAATTACAGCTAATTCTTTCATCTCGTTATTTTCCTCAGATGAATTCAATCAATGGTGGCTTCTAATAGAAGGCAGATACTCTCATACTTAATCCATTTCCGCTGCAGCTGTATTGCTGTGCTGTAGGAAAAGGGTGCTTACTGATTTAGTGCAATTAGAGCAATGTAAATCAGGAGTAATGCCATTAGACCTAAAAATATTATTTAACTTCTGTGCTCATTATGGGCTAGACTGCACCAGCTCTAACTCAAGCAAAACAGAACCTTGCTGTGCAGATGCTCCTTTTGAAAGCAAGGGGTTATCGTCACTCGCAGGAGCATGTCACAGCCCATCAGATGGGCCGGGATTAAGCAGTGCCCTTTGTCAGAGCTCCCTAACTTTAGGTTTTTGCTTCAATGCTGTAAATACAGACAGTAAACTGAGACTGCAATGAACTGAACGTTTTTGGAGAATTACAGAATTAATAAGAGACAAATGGAGCTAAAAGTGAGTAAGCCCCGAAGTGTCCACTGGGTGAGATCTACTCACAGATCTCATCTACTCACAGCATGCATCTTTCCCCAAGACTTTCAGAAGCCTATGAACAGCACGCCAAGGGGAAACGAGAACAGGGCCAGCACCTCAGCGAGGCTGGCAATAAACAACGTGGCTGAGAGACGAGAAAGAGTCCGTCCGGGTTGCACTGTATGCATACTGCCAGAGATGATGATGTGCTGTTACTCAGGAAATGTCCAAAGTGGGACCAGCTAGAAGAGAAACAAGCAATTATGAAATAATAATTCCAGAATGGCAACGCTGAAGGGGAAGAGATATGAAGTGTGCAGTGTGTACAAGGAGGAGAAGGGGACAGTTCGATTCAGGAAGGTGGTGTTTCTCTAGTGGATGGCAAGAGCACAGAGACAGCAGCAAAATCTGCAGCTACCAAAGTGGAGAGAAGCTCAATTCTGGACAGCATGGAGAGCAAGAGATTCTGCTAGGTGTGGCGTAATTGCTCTCTTGCGACAAGGCACTTCAGTGTCACTTTTATTGAGCCACCACTGGCTCGCCGGATTGATAGGAGGAGACAGACAGCTAGCAGGGAGGCAATTCTTCA